GTGGTGCTGAGGATGGAACCTGGGCCACACACATGCCAGGCGAGTGCGCTACCGCTTGAGCCACATCTCCTGCCCCTGTCTTCGTTGTTTTAAACTCATCAGGTAGTAATCGGCTTTTGATACTACTTATGTCATAATCTAAATTTCTTTTTAGCTCTTATTCAGTTTTCCTGTGTTTATGCCTTGACTACTCAACTAGATTTAGAATCTCAAGGAACACCCAGGAGGGACTGGAGCCTCTCTTCACAGAAAAGCAGAGGGCACTCACCTTGGGGGCAATGCGGACTCGCTTACTATGACGTGCAAGTTCGGAGCTCATGAGTGAAGCTGCCAGGGGCAGTGGCACCTTCACTGAGGGCTGCAGCACCAGTGAATGGTTCACGGGGAACTGGATGGGCACCAGGTATGAGCTGACCCGAGGAAGCAGAGGCTTCATCTTCCGCCCTAGGAGGAAACAGGAGTGATCAGGAAGAGAAGGGCGAGGGGTTCTCCCCTTCTCAGTACCAGGAGTTTTGCTGTCCTTCTCTGGGTTCAGATCCCTGTGAGCTGGAAACAGAATCTGGAGTCTGATTCCCTAAAGACCATACATGCCCCCAGAACAAGGCTTGGGCCTGAGGCCCACTTTCCTGTACTCACGTGCACCCAGTGGGAGTTCCGTTCTGATGGTCATATTCCTGCGGAGCTCAGGATTGGGTCGTTTCTGCTGCTGCATGTGGAAGATTGGAAAAGAAAGAAACCTAGGTTAATAAGGTAAAGGGCGATAGCAGAACCCCACAGGCTGTGCTGGTGCACTTGAGCTAACCAACAGCCCAGAAAGTAAAAGCCAATCTGAGGGAGGGATGCGGGTAAGCATAATATCTCAAGCCTTGTTTAGGGGACAGGTGGATGGCATAGGGTCATGTGATGGCAGGACAGTCCTACCACCTCACCCATGGGTCTTCACCACCCCCAGAGGATGCTAAAGCATATAGTTATCTTAGTAGTAAAGAGGTAAGGCAGAGGGAACAAACTGTCACCTGCAAGGCCTATGCCAGGCAATTGCAATGGCATGTTCTCCTGCTGTGCCCTGCTCTGTGTTGCTCAGTGCATCTTTGTGATGCTCATGGGAGGGTAAAGAGGAGTGGCAATAGCAGTCTCATGTTCCTCACTCCCAGATCCTCTGGGTGCTATGTGTGCTGGGCTGGCAGTCACACAGCCATAGAATCCCATCCCCATGTCTTTGCCCACTAAAGCCATGCTGAGCAGTGAAAGGAAAACAAGGCCAAGCCCCGAGCCAGAGGAAAAGAATCTTACTGATTCCAAGTGCTGGGGCGATTGTGGAGACCCTGGGTCCAGTGGCTGGTGGCGGCCAAGCATTGTGGGAGAGAAATGAGATGAAGTTACCACCAACGTGGTCAATCTGACCAGACTGGGAAAAAAACCTACTCCTGATGGATGCCGAGGGACACCCTGAACAACTGTCCCTCCCAGAATGGTTACAGCTACCCACAGCCTTATGGGCACTCAGGTCCCCAAACAATAGCATCTTTCTGAAAAGATGTTCTGATGGCTCAGCTTCTAGTCTCTAGCCTAAAGAAGGGTGTTTTTAGAGCAACCTTCCCAGACTTTCTCTGTAAGAATCACCTGAGATGCTTGTGAAAAATACAAATTTCTGGGTCCATTCCAGATCCACTGAACCAGGAACTCCCATAGGCTCCTGATTTTAGAACAATACGGCCTGGAGAGCTGTAGTGTAACAAGTGTCCCAGGAAATTCTTATTCACAGGGGAATTAGGGAAGCACCGCTCTAGGAAGTCCTCTATGTTGGATCAGAACAGTCTTCTCATGCCCCAGTCCACAAAAGTGCATTATTTGGTTATTTGTCAACTCTACTTATTTCAGCAAGTTGTTAATTGGCTGGCTGGCTCCTAACTCTCCGACCAAATGAGAGCATCATGAGGAGAGTCTGTCCCTCTTGAGATGTCCGCTATGACCTCCAATACTGATCCTATTTAGAAGAAAGGAGGATACTCACCTTAAACACCTGGTCCAACGTCAAGTAGCGATTGGCACTGGGGTGAATGGTCCAAAAGGAGACCTTGCCATTGGCAGATGTCTCCCGAACAAACATGTCATGGAGGGAAAGGTTGTGGCGAATGGAATTCTGAAATGAGAGGAAGGAGACCCGTTATCAGCTAATTTAGCTTCAAAAACATCATCTTTGAAGCCAGTGGGAGTGTATCCCACGTGCTTAGCACAGGCTTTGTCCAGGCTCCCTGTAACATTGCCTGTTAGCAACTCTCTTCCTGACACTGCACACTTAATAATCTCAGCTGTTTGTCCTTCTGTTCCATGGGGATAAAGCCTGGTGCCACTCCTTGGGATGGTAACAAAGAAAAGACCTGGCTTGCCCCCAGGCTCATCGCCTTGGGACCGAAGCTTCCCCCTCTCTTCCAGCTCTCTATCATGGCACAGGATCTGGGTGAAAAGGAGAACCCTTTGCAGAACTTCACATCTGCAAATTCTGCCTGCCACTACATCTGTGTGGGGAGAGGAAGACAATCTGAGCCAGGCAGCCAATGTGTTTTTCAGAGATCCTACTGCAGTAGGAGAAATGAGCAGACTGTCTTTTGCACGTCAATAAAGATCTAAAGGTATTGGGAGTATGAAAGAAAAAAATAACTTTTCAGGCTGGTCATGGTGACACATGCCTATAATCCCAGTGACCTGAGAGGCTAAGGCAGAAGGACTTCAAATTCAAGGCCAGCCTCATCAACTTAGTGAGACCCTCTGCAACTTAGTGAGACCCTGTTTCAACATAAAAAATAAAAAGGGATAGGAATGTGGCTCAGTGATTAAGCACCTCTGAGTTCAATCCTTGGTACCAAAACCAATAAAAATTTTTTAGATATTGGGAAACTGGTTTTGGGATTCAGGGATATATCACTCTGGAAATCAAATATGATCTAAGATTTGATGTCCATAGCCAGGGCCTCTATGTGGCACTGGGTAGGCAAAGTTTCACAGTTAGGACAGTCTACACTGGGGCCAAATGCAGAATCAGCAAAGAGGCAGCCACCTGCTGGTTCCAGTAGAAGTCTGATAACCCTTTCAGGCAAATCCATTTTGTTGTTGTTTTTATGTGGAACTGAGAATTGAACTCGGGGCCTAGTGCATGCTGGGCAAGAGCTCTACCTCTAAATTATATCCCCAGCCCAACAAATCCCATTTCTACCCAAAAGGTAAAAAAAGTTTTCAGCGAAATATAAAAAAGGAGTTGGGCACAGTGACACACACTTGTAATTTCACTGACTTGGGAGGCTGAGGCAGGAGGATTGCAAGTTAAAAGGCAGCCTCAGCAATTTAGAAAGATCCTGTCTCAAAATAAAAAATAAAAAGGGCTGGGGGTATAGCTTAGTGGTAAAGCACCCTTGGGTTCAATGCCTAGTAATAAATAAATAAATAAATAAATAAATAAAGTTTAATGCACACACGTGCTTGTGTGAAAACAAGGAAAGACCTGGTAGAGCTAGGGTTATAGTTCAGTGGAAGAGTACTTGCCTAGCATATGTGAGGCCCTAGGTTCAATCCTCAGCACTAAAAAAAAAAAAAACCCAAAAAAACAAAAAACCACACCCTGGAGAGCTAGGAAGGCAAAGACTGTGAAATAGCAATTAATAGGGAAACAGATAAGGAGAAAGAAAGAAACTAGGAATTTTTATTTATTATATATCTGTGTATGTGTGTATATACACACACAAATATATAAATATATGTATATTTTTAGTTGTAGATAGACATAATACCTTTATTTTATTTTTATGTGGTGCTGAGGATGGAACCCAGTGCCTCACATGTGCCAGGTAAGCACTCTTAACACTGAGCCACATCCCCAACCCGAACCCCAAAACTAGGAATTTAAGTTAATTAAGAGTGTGAAGTTAAGAGTTCTACTGTGGGGAAAATGAAACAAAACAGGGACAGACCATCTTTATCTTAGAATTAAATACCTCTCTAAAAACTTGACTTGTAACTTTGAACCTGTGAACTGTAAATGGTATGTGACATTACCGGAGATCAATCTTGTGAATCTCAGTGTTCTGATTCTTTTTTATTAAGATATTTTCATAAGGGGCTGGGGATATAGCTCAGTTGATAAAGTGCTTGCTTTGCATGCATAAGGCCCTGAGTTCAACCCCTACCACCACCACCACCACACACACACACACACACACACACACACACACACACAAATCTTTTCATAAAATTACTTCACTACTCCAGCTGCAGGTACTGTTCAGTGTGGCACAAAGGTAGGCTTGGGTACCACACTGAAGTCTCTCTGTAAACCTCATGTGGTAACCAAGGAAGTCGTTATAGGGATCTTGTTGATATCTTTTATTTTGAGGCAGGGTCTCATTAAGTTGTTGAGGTTGGCTTTGAACTTGCAATCCTCTGGCATCACCTCCTGAGTCACTGGGTATAAAGGCATGCATCTCTGTGCCTGTCATTGATGATTTTGCTTAGATTCAGTGGGATCAGTTACAATCCAAAGACACATGTGTTTATAGTTCTAGCATCCTTTGCACTTAATGTCTGACCCAGAGGGCTAGATACAAAGTGCAGTACAACAGCAGAAACCATCTGTCAGGCTTGGGCCATAGTGACTTTGACTTTAGTGGTTATGGGATATGTTACCTTCCAGCCTGGCTTGGCAATATGCTTAAAATAGGGGAAGTGGTCCTCAATCCAAGTATAGATGTCCTTCAAGGTCATGCGCTTCCTCTCAGTGCTGTTGATGGCAAACTGTATCATGGCCATGTAAGAGTAAGGCGGTCGCTGAGACACAGAGTCCTGCCAGGATGTTGATGTTCCTGAGGGCTCTTCCATCTGAGGAATGTGAGAAGTCAAAAGGAAAGAGAAGAGGGAATGACAAAGAGAGTTCACAAGAACTTCTCCAACCAGAGCCCCTTGAGAACATCCTCTAGAGGAACCTTTTCCCATAGAGATATCCTAGAATCCCACTCATTTGAGACTGCTGTTCCACAGTGGCATAAATTTTAGGATTAGGATCTTCAATGACCTAGCCTAGATTGTAGTGAGTGAGGAACTACTTCTCTGATGTCATTCATTTTGTTGAAGATATTGTTCAATATTAAGAGGAAGTTCATTCTCTCCTAGTTGAAAATATTCAGAGCTGGGTTATAGACTATGAGATTTTATTGTACTAATCTATGACCATTTTTTAGACTTGTAGTCAACTCTGATATGCTGTGAATAACCCATCTTGTTCCAATGTTTGTGAAAAACATTCTCATGAACATGGGACAGATAAATGTCTTCAAAGCATACATCTGGCTAAATCTTGGACAAAGACCTGATCATTTGCTTTTTAAAAATTAAGATAGGGCTGGGGATTTAGCTCAGGTGGTAGAGTGCTTGCCTCCCATGCACAAAGCCATGAGTTCAATCACCAGCAACAACAACAAAAAATTAAGATAGAACTTTATAAAGTACAATTGAATATTTAAGTATATGATTCAATTAATATTTACTAAGGAGGGCTGGGGTGGTGGCTCAGCAGTAGAGCACTTGCCTAGCACGTGTGAGGCGCTGGGTTCCATCCTCAGCACCACATAAAAATACTTTCTAATGTATACATTCATGCAATTTGGGGGGGCAGTATTGGCGATTGAACTCAGGGGCACTCAACCACTGAGCCACATCTCCAGCTCTATTTTGTATTTTATTTAGAGACAGGGTCTCACTGAGTTGCTTAGCACCTTGCTTTTGCTGAGGCTGGCTTTGAACTCACGATCCTCCTGCCTCAGCTTCCTGAGCTGCTGGGATTACAAGCGTGCACTACCATGGCCAGCTTCATGTAAATTTTCACTTTTAATGAATGAATGAATGATTAAAGGGTATATACTAAAGAATCTAAATGTGTGATATTGGTGACTATGAACAAAATAAGAACAGACTACATAACTGATAAATAAATTTTCATTGCTGGAAAAGTATTTAAAATTCACCCCTAGTTCACTTTATTTTCTATTAATATTACAGAATATCTTCCAACAAATAAGATGTCATATTCAAGCCAGGCATGGTGGTACACACTGTAATCTCAGTGACTCAGGAGGCTGAGGCAGGAGGATAGCAAGTTGAGGCCACCTCAGCGCATTAGTAAAGCCCTAAGCAACTTAGTGAGATCTGTCTGAAAAAAAAAGGGGGTGGGGTGGGTGGGGATGTAGCTCAGTGGTAAAGCACCCCTGGGTGCAATCCCCAGTACCAAAAAAAAAAAAAAAAAAAAAGCTATAGTCAATTTATATAGCTGTGTTACTTACTTAAAGTTCAAATAGCTTCCCAAAGTAAGACTATTACTCATTTCTTGAATATCTAGAAGGGTAGAATACTAAACCCAGTGCTCAGAGTCTGCCCTCAAGGAAGTTTCACAGATGGGGAGAAAAAGAACTCAGGTAGAAAGTAGCTCAAAAGTTATACAGAAGAGCACTGAGTGCTTTTACTAGAACTTGGAAATTCTGTTCCAGCAAGCCACTTGATCCATTTTTCCTCTTAGAAATTCCCTGCATTGGCTCTGATTTTCCTAATGAATGACAGAATGGTTTACCTTAACCTGACTCTGCTCCGGGTGACAATTCTCTTTTTCCTCCATCTCTTGCTTGATGCTACAGGAGCCCAGTCCATCAGAACTCATCTTTTCAAGCCACTGGATGTTGGTTAAGCTGTTGTCCAGGGGGCAGCCTGTTGTGTCACCACCAGCTAGAGGGAAAACAATTCAAGACCCCACTTAGCTGCCTGATCCAATAGGATCAGCTGCTTATCCCAATAGGCCCATCAGTATTGGTGGTTAGGGAATCACTCTTCTACCCTTAGGGACAAGAGAACACACAGTAAATCTCCCATAGCTCTAAGTTACTCTAATCCAAAATGGGTTTCAGGAGAAATTCAAGAGCATAGTTCAAATTGCATTTCAGTATGAGCCACACTAAACCTTAGTCATCAGTTGTAGCAACCTTACAAATGAGTTCCTTAATATCTACACAAAAAAAGTCACTTTTCTTTCTCATACTTTAGTTTGCTCCTTTACAATGAAGAAAGATTTAATTCCTTACAAGTTCAATGGAAAGAATAAACCAAAATAATAAATCATTTCCCAAAATTGAGAAGGCAATAAAAATGCTAAGTTATGATTATAACTCTCTTGACAGTACCAGAGAATCTGTATCAAGGTTTAAGGATGAAAAAGTCAAGACTTTCCCTGGGTTCAGCCTATCTGTTGAGGGCATCAACATGGCTGACTCGCCACTAGAGAGGAAACGCCAGTCTCCTCATCCCTTTGCCTTGCAGACCACATACCACAGTTCTCCAGTCTCTGCCCCAGAGTGGGTCCAGGTGGTCTAAGAACATTTGCATCCCTAGTGGCAGGCTTTGGTCCCAATATTTCTGTAATAACTTCTGTCCTCTTGGAATCATTGCTGGTCTGGGGTTGAGGCTGACGTCCTGAAGGGTGAGTTGAGGCTCCCCCACAGCTGATAAGGATGAATTTGTTGGGCCCACTGCTGCCACTCTCCTTTCCTTTGGCAGTCAATGCTGTGATGATGCTTTGGATATCAGCATTGTTGGGGATGGCCACCACCTGCGTGTTGGGCATGGTAGGGTGGTTAATAATCTTGATCCCAGTTGGAAACTTGCAAGCGTTGGACTCGGCCACCTCTTTGGAGGCCTGTGCTTGACTAGGCTCCTCTTGGGCAGGGGGTTTCTTAGGTTCCTCCTCTGGTGTGTCACGTGGGGCATCTTGAACAGGAAGAGGCAGCCTCCGTCTTTTGAGAATCAGTGGCCGCCGGGGGCTGGTTTTCATTATTAATCTGTGCTTTCACTCTCCATTGAGAATCACAAGAATGGACCCTACAAGGTACAAGGAACAGCAGGACATAAAGAGATTGTTAAGCTGAGAAGGGGTTCTCTCACAGAAAGGTGTTCCTCTGCACATATGGTCAAGAACATAAGCCTAAAGGCCTTTATAAAAACCTCAGACAATAAGGAGATAAACCCTACTGGCCAAAGAAAGCTACAACTGTAGCAAGTAATTCAAGGTGGTTGGGGGAGACAGATTGGACTGGAGATAGTCAAATGTCTCCTGGAAGCTTAAGAATGACTACAAGAATGAGTGAGACAGCTGCAAAAATGTTGAAAACTATTATTGCCATTTATAATACAGATAGATTACTTATAGTGACTATAGGGATGGAAATGGAAAATGCTGAAATAGGAAAACATGATAATTAGAAGCCCGCACAAAACTCTGATCCAATAACCTATTCTTAGTAAAGCCTTTGTACAAATATGTGTATGTATTAGATAAAGCCCTTGTATAAATGTGTGTGTATATATTTGTGTACATAGACACACAAATACATATTTGCTTCCTTATTGTTCTAGAAATATAACCCAGAAATGCTCTACCACTGGGCTATGGCTCCAACCCTTTTCATTTTTCATTTCAACAGAATCTCACTAAATTGCCTTGGTTGGCCTCAAACTGTGGTTCTCCTATCTCAGCCTCTGAGTAGCTGAGATTATATTTTTATGTCAATATCTTTTATATTTTTATGTCAATTTACTTAGTAAATGATAACAATCAATGCCTACAGAATCAGGAGATAAAGGTAGATTGTAGTATGCCACATCACTGGAGAAATCATCTCCCAGTTCACAAAACTTCTTTATTCAAAAAGCCCATGATAAAGTAATACAGATTTTGCACTGCACAACTCTATTGGGTACAATTTACTTCACAGGAGTCTTGATTTTTTTTTTTTGTAGTGCTGGGGATGGAGCCCAGGGTCTTTATGAATGCTAAGCAAATACTCTCACAGATCCCTACTCTATCACTGATCCCCAACCCCAGCCCTCTTGCATTACTTTTTTTTTTTTTTTTTAAGTTTTGGTACTGGGGATTGAACACATGGTCACTTTACCATTGAACTATATCCACAGACCTTTTCATGTTCAGATAGGATCTTGCTAAATTGCTTAGAGCTTTGATAAATTGCTGATTGGCCTTGAACTTGTGATCCGCCTACCTCAGTTTCCTAAGTCGTTGAGATTATAGGTGTGTGCCACCGTGCTCATCTCTTGTATTAATTTTTAAAAACTGTATTTTTTCACAATTTGCAAAAGAGCTATATAGTGACACTGTAGTATTTCCATATACCCAACCCCACCCAGTAATGGGGTTTGAATCCAGGGGCTCTTTACTACTGAACTATCCCCCCATACCTTTTTATTTTGAAACAGGTTTTAATTTTTCCAGGTTGAACTTGGAATCCTCCTGCCTCAACCTGCTGGGATTATAGGTATGTGCTCATACAATGCCCAGCTGTTTTTGCATATAATACCTTTGTTTTGTTTTATTTTGGGGGGTGGTGCTGAGGATTGAACCCAGGGCCTTGTGCATGCAAGGCAAGCACTCTACCAACTGAACTATATCCTGAGCTCCACCATATTTTAACTTTGTAAGAATGCTACTTTACTATTTAATTTCTCTTCCAGAACCAAGACTATAACTATCTCTGGACTTCTAGATTGTGCTATGATTAATACGCTAAGGTGGTTCTGAAATGCTAAGAAATCTTATCTTTAAAAAGGGGGGGGTTATTTTGATTTTTATAGATATGCAAACTATTCTACCATTAAGTACAATCCTAGCATTATATTTTGAGGTCCTTTGAGAGACAGAGGAATTCCATGACCCTTTTGAGGACACCTTCTATGCCCATAAGAATGAGTGCACTTTTTTGACATATACCATCTGCTTAGAGTTCTCAGGCCTTCCCCACCCTGTCATCTTCCTTCCCTCTATATTTCAGTTTTCTCTACTTTCAAAACTCAATTTTAATTCTGCCTCATATCCCTCCAGGCCCACTCACCTCAATAGGTAAGCACTGTTCCCTTTTTTCCACAGAGTGAGTCTTAATTTTCTCTTCAACTCCTTTAACCTGCCTCTTCCTAATAATGCCAACACTTTATAGCGTCACTCCTTTGCTCCAATCCCCATTCTGAACAGGGAAACCTTGCTACACTCTCAAGAATCCTGCAAAAGCAGAGGGTGGAGGCAGTGTTGCCAAATGGTGAGAACACCCGGGGCGCAGGGGAGCGTGTGTGTGCGCGTGTGTGTGATGGTCTTTTACTCAAAGCATAACCAGCTCAGTTTTCATCCCAGCCCCAGTCCCCTACTCAGAGAGTAGGCCACTTCTGGAGCCATGGGCAGGGTGCAGAAGTCAAACTTGCAGGGAAGCCCAAGGGGTGCATGGAGAAACAAGCGAGATGGCCAAGGCCAGAAGATTGGATGCAGAAAAAAAAATACATATATATACTTTTGCATATATAT